GTCCGCTGAGCCCCTTGTGGCCATAAAATCCCAAGCCTCGGGGTTTCCAGCACGGGCAAATGCCCTGGGGCAGCTGCCGCTTACAGGGGGCTTAACCACTCTCGGGGCAGACATTCGTTTTGGGCCCTCGAGGATTTCCCGTACTTGCCTGCGGGCTCAGCTATAGGCTCAGAAGCACGTGGGTTGTATTTCATCCGGCACATTCCATCAGGAGAAATTATATCAAGAGGAATTATTATTATTATTATTTTTAATGACGTTTAGCCGACTTTACGGCCAGAAACAGATCTCACCGTGTCTTCCAGCGCGTTCGTGACTCCTCTGGATTCTGCGGGCAGATTGTGTTCAGAGATTGGTTCTTTCGCTCTGACTCCCCCCAGCAGCTGCTCCCTTGCCTTTCTTTGCTCTACCCTGGTGAGCTTTCCTTTCTCTTTCCTGCCTCACTGGTCTGGGAAGTGCGGACAGTCAGAAGCAGGGCTCTGTATGCAAGGGTTTGGTCCGAGCTGAGATTCCCAGCTGGAGTGTGGGTGGGAGCCTCGTCCTCAGTGGGACCCTCAGGGTGCGCCTCTGCTCCGCCTCCTGGGGGCTGTCGTTGGGTTGACCGCCTCCTCCTCCCTGTCCCCGCCCCCCCAGTCCCAGCCCCAGGCAGCTTCTCAAGGCTTGAGTCAGGGACTCGGGGGCTTGGTTGATGGCGACAGGCCGTCCAGACTCTGGCGTCAGTTTGTCCATCCTATTTTATTAATAATGTTCTTACCAACATTCGTCTCTTCCCATGTCTTCATGGGTAGAGTACACAGTATTTCTCAACCCGGCTGAGCATCAAGAGAGGAATGGATAAAGACAAATACTGTATGATCTCACTTATATGTGGAATAAAAATTTTAAAAAGACCTCATACATATAGAGAACAGATGGGTGGTTGCTGGGGGGGGGGCAGTTTGCAGGGTGGGTGAAATGGGCGAAGGGGGTCAAAGGTACAAACTCCCAGTTATAAGACAAATTTTTTTTAATTTTTTTAACATTTATTTATTTTTGAGACAGAGAGCATGAACAGGGGAGGGTCAGAAAAAGAGGGAGACACAGAATCCGAACCAGGCTCCCGGCTCCGAGCTGTCAGCACAGAGCCCGACACGGGGCTCGAACCCACGGACCGCGAGATCATGACCTGAGCCGAAGTCGGACGCTTAACCGACGGAGCCACCCAGGCGCCCCATTCTGGGGTCTCATTTAGATCCCACAGTGTGTGAGAACGGTTTTATTTTCTGTACGTCATAGATGAGGAAACCGAGGCTCAGGGAAGAAGAGCAGGGGGGCCTGGTCCACACAGTCAGAGGGTGGCAGCTGGGCTGGATGTCAAGGATGTCCTGACAAGGGTGCCTGTGCTCATTCCAGAGGGGTGCTGAGAACCCCCACCCCCACCCCGAACACACACGCAGGGTCAAGGCCACCCTCCAGGCCTTCCGCTTTGCACACACCCTCCCGAAGCCCCCACCCCCCATCCCTGGAGCCTTCTGTCCTCGAGGCTGTGAGCCCCTGAGGACGGGACATCGCCCCTTCCTCACCAGCCCCTCAAAGAGTTCTCTCATCCTGGCACAGGTGTCTTCTATCCGGCACCTCTTGGGGGCTCCTCCCGTGAGATTCGGGCCCTCTGCCCTCTGGCCTCGTGTCCCCCGCACCCTCAGCGCTGGTGACAGTAAGCCTTGTGCTCCAGCCTTGCCCCGGGCCTCTCCCTGAGCCTCCAGGTCCCCTACTCTCTCTGACACTCCCTGCCTGCTCCCCTCTTCTTTCCTCCCTGCACCCAGCACCTTCTTCTTCCCAGCAGGTAACACGGGGTCACCCTGACTGCTGGCTCAGGAGCCTTGAATGGGCGGGGGCTTCCGCTCTTTTCTGACCACAGGCCCCCAGCATGCAGTTTGCACTGAAGTCTGAACTGGTCAAAGAAACACTACCCTCCCACCCCCCCCCAACACTACCCGCCCCATCAGCAAGAGTGATGCATTTAGGGCCCTTAGTCTCAGTCGGTGATGGGGCCTGGGCGGGGGGCAGGGGGAGGCAATGGAAAGGAACCAGAAATCACAGCGGTGTCCGAGAAGCCCGGAGAGGAAAAGAATCCTGTTTGCAGGAGCTCTCTGAATCTCAAAATGCCGGGCTGGTAAGGTCGGTTCCGGAACGACAGAGCCCATTGACATCTGAGGCCCCAGAGCTCCCCATTTGTTCCCACCCCCTCCCCAGACCCATTCTGCACCCCCTCTCTCCGGGCTCTGTGCGCCCAGGGGCTGGCCTCTCGCCCTCCAACAGGCTGCCTTGCCTGGGCTCCCGGTTGGGTTCATCACCCTCCAGATCCTGCTCGCCTAGATCGCACCGCCTGGGGTGGGGTCCCCTCCACAGCTGCAGCTTTTGGTTTCACAGCTCCTTTACTTTGCCCCTTTGGGGTGGCAGTGGTGCCCGGTGGGTTCCCTTAGCCGTGGCCACACCTCGCACACGGCCCCTTCCTTAAGCCCTTCACCCGAGGACTTCCTCCCCCTGCTTCCTCCCACTGTGCCGATGCAGCGCTCGGGAGACTGCACGACGCTTCCAGACTCAGCTGTCAACCTCGATAGCCTCATTCGGTCTCCCAGGGAGGCAACGTCTACTGCAAAACCTGTAAAATGACCACAGAGCTTGCAAAACCTCGACTGTTCATTTGATCTCTAGAAAGCTTGCTGCAGGAGATAGAATTTGCTAAGGTTAAATGTTCTCCCCGAACTCACTGAACTCGTGTTCGTCATTTGGCACGTCAGGGGTTTTTTGTTCTTTTCTTTCTGGGCCCAGTCATACTTCCAGCAGCTTCAAATCCAGACCCCCGGCCCTGCCCGGCCGCCTTGCCGCGCCTCCCGTCCCGCTGACCTATCTCTCGTGCTCGTCCCGTCCCTGCTGGGTTCCTGCTCTTTGGACAAGGCCAGGTGCAGTCTCCCGGACTTCTTAAATGCCAGGCCCTCCGAGGCCCTCATCAGTCATTCACAACTGAGTAGGAATTAGTTGGCAGCTCATGGGACTATCGACTCCTGGCATGCACTGGGGCGCCCACAGAGGAAAGCAGACAACGAAGGCCCCAGACCTCAGTCACAAGCTTTATTGTCTCGAGCACAGACTCGCCACACTTCAACAATTCCACTTTGGGGAGGGCAAGGGTGCGGGAGGGCTTGGGGACGGGGCACGGCTGAGCCCACACCGGACAGGCGGAGATGCTCGCAGCCAAGTGGCTTCTTTGCCACCTGCCAGCCGCCTTGGGGGCTCAACCCCTCCTGGTGTGGGCCTTTGGCTGTTAGTAGACTAATCAGTGCCTCCCGTAGGAGGGGCGAGCTGCCAGATTTTGCTGGAAAGAGTAGCATTTGACTCTGGGTTAGGCCACTAAAGCATCGCTTCTAGACTGTTGTTAATAAAACCGCATGCGAGAGCTACCAGAAGCCAGTGGGGAGGTGGGGGGCTGATGGGACGAACTGGCTGCCCCCCCCCCCCAGGATGGGCTGAGTTTGGGCAAGGGTGGGAGCCACACGCATCTGTGCCTGGGAGCACCCAAAGGCCACCAAGGTTGTTCCCAGGGCACAGCCTGCGTTCCCATCCTGGCGGATTTCGGGAACACCACGATGGGCCATCAGGTTTCCCCTGCGAGCCTCTGGCAGGGGACGGCCCCGAACGAAAACCCTCCCTGAGCTGTGGGAGGTGGAGGCGGGCCCAAAGCAGTACCCTGCGGGCCCTCCAGCTCTACAGGCTTTTCTGAACTGGCTTTTCCCGCTACACACAGGTCTGGAGTAACTCAGCTGGACTCGGGGGGCGGAGGAGAGAGGCGGCTAGATTTTTCTCGTCATCAACATCCCTTGGGCTCTTTCCTTGGCTATAGGAGACGGGCTTACAAAGCTCTGGACAGGTGCCTGGTAAGAAAGGGGGCTGTTGGTACGTGTGCATTCTGATGCACGTGTGTGGCACACGCATCCCTGAACGCTCACCCACCTACGTATACCTGGGCGTGTGGGCACGCAGCCAGGTGGCAGCAACGTTTGCGATGTACGTGGGCGCGGGCCTGCCAGACCTGGCGCTCGGTCCCAAGAGCGTGTGTCCTGTGCACCCCAGCGTGTGCGTCCTGAGCGCGGCTGACTGCAAATGCCCACCCCCCACGACCGCGTGTGCGCGCCTGCTCCCTCCGTGCGTGTGCCAAGGGTCAGGGGGTGCACGTGGCGCAGCCTGCGTGGGCGTGTCCGCAGGGCACAGGCCCAGATTCGGAGCGTCTGGTCAACCCAGGAGACACGTTCCACACCAGTCCAAACGCCCTGCGGCCACCCTGCCCCCGCTCCAAGCCAGGTGCGTGGTGGGGGATGGGGAGAGGGGCTTCTGAACTTTCCTAATACTGTGGCTCCTGGCCCTGGTGGCTACCCTCTGGCCAGCAGCTTGGAGCTGTGTATGTGAGATGGTGTTGGGGGCTGGGGGGAGAAGGACCTTGCCCCCAACACCTTGAACCCGGGCCTCACTGGGCAGACAGGCCGACGGGTCTCGGACCACTGTTTGAAGAAGGCTCAGCCTGTGGGGGCAAGAAGCCTGGGGACTGCTTAGGCCCGGAAGTGGCTGCAGAAAAGGGGGTCCCCACCTGGCTCCTGAGGCCTGGCCTGCCTTCCTTGGTGCCTAGCTGGGCCCCCTCTGACCCTTTCCCAGGACGATGGCTCTCTGGGGTCTCAGGGGAACCCGGGAGAAGGAGAAGAAAGGGAGGGCAGGGACACACCTGGGGTGCCAAGATGGTCCTCAGGGCAGCTCGAGAGGGGCCTGGCCGCATCGCCTCAGCCTCCCCAAACTCCAGAAACTGCCGGGGCGTCCAGGGTGTCCAGGCTGAAGGTCCCGGGGTCCAGGACAGGACTGTACCGCTCGCTGTGGAAGGTGGTGCTTGAGGGAGCCTCCCGGTCCGGCAGGGGGGGTCGGGGTGGGGGATTGTCCGCGGCAGTGGGCACGTTATCGTTACAAACACTGTTCTTGTCTCCAAAGTGACAGTCCTGGCCCCTGCCTGGAGGGGGCGCCGCCGGGGCAGGCCGGAGGGGCTCTGCTGTGGACTCGGCTGCTCCACGGTGTCCCTCAGGGTCAGTGCTTCTCCTGGGGAGAGCAAGGCCTTGATCAGCAAGCGTGTCTCAGATAGTGAAGGGAGTGGGGTGGGCTGTTTGAGAGCCCACTTGTGCCAGGGAGCGGGGACAGCACATGCAAAGGCCCCGGGGCAGGAAAAGCCACTCTGCGGTGTCTGGGGTGTAGTGAGACAGGAGGTAGGGTGAGAGCAGATGGGTCTCACAAAGAGCACCGAGTGCCCGTGTACACAAAAATGTGGCCAACGTGGCACAAAACAGACCGTGGAAAGGACACTTTTGAGAGCAGGAACAGGGTGGCAGAGGGTCGTCTGTCGGACCTCAGCTGGGAATGTGCATGTCAGGTGACTCGAATTTTTCTCCCCTCTGCACGTGTCCGTGAATGACCACACAAGTGCCGTGAGTATTGATTCTGGGGTCACAAATTTTATCGAGGAGGTAGGTTTGCAAGTAAGGAATCTGTGAATAATGAGGACCGACTGGGTATGCACACACACACACACACACACACACACACGCACACACACAGCAAAGTTCAAGAAGGATATCATTTAAAAATGTCAACCTTGGTCACCTCTGGGCAGGAGGACTATCTTCTTTATCTATTTTGGGTCTTTCCCCCCACCAAACGTTTCCTAATAGACATGTTTTAACTTTTATTATGAAGGTCCTTAAAAAAAGAGACACGAGGTTAAAAGAACAGATGACAGCCGAGCCAACTTTAACTGCACTGGCCCCAGGTCGTGAGCAACCCGACGGTGAAGCCTCTGGCACAAATGCACCGTCGTGATTTTGGTGGCTTTTCGGGGTTTTTTGGCCAGAGGAGTCGGCCAGGGTGTCTCCCCGGGGCCAGGGTGCCCCTTACCTCTTGTTTGTGGGCCTTGTCTTGCTGGTGGATGCCGTTTGCAGATCCGGAATTGGGGACGGCCTGTTGAAGGAGAGTCATGCGCAGATGCTGAGAGGTTCACCAGGCAGCAGTTCCTGGTTTGGCCCCTAGGTGGCGAGGTCTTCCCCTTGGGGCCACCGGAGGCTCTTCAGAACGCGGGTCCCAGGACCCCGGGGGACCAAGGCTGCATCCCCAGCTTAGTCTGAGCTCCTCCTCAAGATCCAACCACGTACCCCTTGGGCCGGGACTCCCGGAGGACAGGGCCACGCTTCCCGAGGACGGTGCCCCGTGGCTGGCCGCCGGCTCACCTGGGACTTGTCGGGGCTCCTCATGGCCTCCACGAGCTTCTCCACCTGCTGAGCCTGGTCCAGCGCGTCCCGCAGCGCATCTTCTGTGCTCATCAGCTGGTGCTGCAGCCGCACGAGCTCAGGCGCCGAGGACGGGTCAATGAGCGAGTAGCGCCTCTGGTCCGACAGGCACTTCTCTTTGTCCTGGAAGCAGCAGGGAAGGGAGGGGGAGTACGCACGCGATCGTGTGTGTGTGTGTGTGCACATACCTGTGCACATGTGTGCTGGGGGGAGGGCGGTCTCTCCTCCAGGCAGGAAACTCTCCTGCTCTCTAAGCCAGGCCTTCCTCCCCCACTCCAGGGTCCCCACTGAAGTATCCTCTTTGTCCCCCGCCCTGAATTCCCAGGCTGTCAGATGCTTCAGATTCTCCAGGTCCTGAAATGCAGGACGCCTTCCCTTCTTTTTCCTTCTCAGGCCTCCCCCCTTCCCTCCCCTCCCCCACTGCCTGGCCCTTCCCCACTCCCTAGATCCAACAAGCTTCATCAAATTCCTTACCCTCCTCCTCCCAACAGGACATTTGTAGGACGCTCAGCCTCTAAGTCTCTCCACTGACTCTGCCCACCAGGGTGCCTGGAGATACACCCGGCCAGCCTCCTGCTCCCACATAAAACTGCCCCCTGGGCCGAGCTTCCAGATCCTTCTCCACTCTGACGCCCACCTAAAACTCCCTCACTTTGGGGGGGTTTTCAAACCACCAAGCCCTTCCCAGCTTTTCCCGCGGCACGGGGGAAGACAGCTCAGAGAGACACAGGAGAGGCCGCCTCGGTGCAAGTGGGAACTTCCTACATCCATGTAAATTGACCAGCCTGTTTCAGACGGAGAGGAGCCAGAATGCCACTGTCTCTACTCCATGAGGCTGCTCAGGGAAAGTCTCAGAATCAAATCATGCCTCCCCCTCACAGCCCCAGGGCCTGCCCTCCTGAGCTTAGAATCCAGGACTCACAGAGCCAAGGACCCCAAGGGCCCCTGAATCCTGCCGCCTAATTAGACCCCGGGCCTAGGATTGGAGGGGTGTGACACCCCTCAGCCTCCTGGGACTTACCGGCCCCCCACAGCCGTGGGTGGGTCCCTGTTCCCTCCCCCCCCGGCCCTCAAGGCTCCTCTTCTGTCTCCCTCCAATGGCCAAACCCCAGCTGCTGCCGGGAGGGCAGGAGGGGCTGGAGTGTCCCCCCCAGACAGCAGCCTGTCTTCCCAGACAGGGTCCTGTCCTTCCCCTTTGCAACTGACTAGCCGTAACTGGCCACAGGTAGTTTGTCCTCAACGCACAGCCTCCACTCCAGCCCCCCACCTCGGGACTCAGCCCAGTCAGGCTCCTGCTCCTGATGGAGGGTCTCAGTTCCTGTGAACCCAGGGTCAGAAGGTGCTTGATATACCCATCTCCCCTCTCGACCACTGATGCGTGAGTCCCCACTGCCAAACCCCTGAGCGAGTTGGTTTCTGGCTTGATTCCTCCCCTGCATGGGGCGCCACCCTGAAGCAGTCCGGCCCTAGCTCTGGACAAGCTCAAGTTCTTCGGAAGTCTTCCTTTGCCCTTGAATCTCAGACGACCACATGGTCGGGTTACAACGTCTGCAAAACGGGGTCACCCGCAAGCCCCTCCAATCACAGACATCGCTGACCTATGATTCTAGGCCCTTGAACCTCCTGTGACTTGGCTCTCTAGGAGGCTGCCACGCCACGGCAGCAGCCCAGTCTGCCCTGCCATCCCCCCATCCCCAGTGGCCACCCCTGGCCCACACATACCAGCCCAGTCAGCTTTTCTCGCAGGTCTCGATGTCATCCTTGAGTTTCTGCTCCTGATCCGCCACACTCAGCCTTTGTGCACCTTCATACTCAGGTCCCTCTCGGCCCTGGCGATGCACTGGCTCCAGCAGCAACACCTAAGTCTGCCTTTGGGAGCTGCCTGGCAGGGGCCAGTGAGGGGCACAGAAGATGAAGGGGTCTCTGTTCCCACATTGTAGATTCTCCTGCGCCTACAGACAGGCCACCACCGACAGGACACAGCACCTGTGTGGTGTACACGAGGGGCCGCTGTGGAAACATGAGGCATGAAACCAAGAGGGGCCAGATTTGGGGATGGGATGGTCAAGAGAACTGGGTCTCTTCCGAATAAAAGCCAAGTTAAAAAAAAAAGAACAGGGCCCCTGGGGGCTCAGAGTTACATCTGACCTCGATATTTGATTTTCAGGTCATGACTTCAGGGATCGACTTACAAACCAGTTTCAGTTTCCTCTCTCTCTCTGCCTTCCTGCTCACATGCACACGGCACTCTCTCTGAAAATAGATATATAAGCTTAAAAAAAGATAAAGAGAACGAAGGTTTAATTAAAAATAAATTGTAAGCACCTGGGTGGTTGTATGTTAAGCTGCCTGACATTAAATTAGGTCATGATTCGCTTCAGAGTTCCCAGCCCTGAGGTTTCTGTGTGCTGAGAGTTTCAGAGCCTGAGCCAGATTCCCAGAAACCCCCCCACTTCTGCCCTTCCCCTGCTCATATGTGTCTCTCTCAGAAATAAATAAAAACATTAAAAAAAAAAATAAAACAAAAACAAATAAAACATTCTCCCAGAGAGCTCATGTGGTAAGACATTTTTACTTTTAAGATTTTTAAAAAAATTATTATTTGCAAATTTTTTAATCTTTTTATTTTCGTAGGAGAGAGACTAGGAGAAGGGCAAAGAGAGAGGGGAGACATAGGAATCTGCTGCTGGGCTCCAGTTCAGCTACTCAGCACAGAGCCCAACAGGGGCCTCCTGGAACTCACAAACTGTGAGATCATGGACTGAGCCTGCGGCTTGTCAGCTTAATGACCGAGGGACCACCCAGTTCCCCCTGCTTGCTGTCTTTTTAAAGTTTATTTATTTAAGAGAGACAGTGACAGCACAAGCTAGGGACAGAGAGGGGGGAGAGAGAGAGAATCTCAAGCAGGCTCTATGCTGCCAGCAGAGCCCGGCGTGCAGGGCTCGAACTCACAGACTGCGGAGATCAATGACCATGCACAAACCAAGAGTCAGCGCCTTCCATCTCCCAGGCACCCCAGCCTGCTATAATTTTTTTTTTTAATTTTTTTTTTTCAACGCTTATTTATTTTCTTTGGGATGAGAGACAGGAGCATGAACGGGGGAGGGGGCAGAGAGAGGGAGACACAGGAAACAGGCTCCCAGGCTCTGAGCCATCGCCAGGAGGCCTGACGCTGGGGCTCGAACCACAGATCAAGCAGATTGTGACCTGGGTTGAAGTCGACGCGAACTTATCTGGCGCGCCACCCAGGTCATCAACCTATTATATTTTTAATGATTAAGAAATATTTAAAAATTTCTGCTTTTAATTGATAACATGGCAAATAATATAAGCAAAAGCTGGGGAATCATCACCTTGAAGTGCTGAAAAGCGCGGGACCAAGAAATTTGGGAACTACCTCCATCTGCCTACAAGCTCTGCCTGAGATCCGTTGTCGGTAGTAGAAGGATTCTCGGAAAATGCGATCTGAGCTCGGGCGGGGACTACGGGGCGGCTAGTTATTGCCAGCTACCTGTCCCTTCCCGGCTTCGCCGCCCCTGCTCCTCTGCTCTCTCAGGTGGTGGAGCGCGCCAGGGTCGGGCCCGGGACCAGCGCCCACGGCTAACTCAATTCAGCCTCCTGAGCAGCTCCTGGCTGATGAGGACTAGCCACCGAGTATGCCAATTTTGGGACGGCCTAGCTCACGCCTCCAGGCTCACGCTTCTCCTTCTGAGGGTTTCCGCCTTCTTCTTCTTCTCCCTCATTTTTGCACTTCGGGCCTCCAGTGCTGAGGTCGGCCGCAGAAAGCAGAGAGAGGGGCAGATCGCTATGGGAATCTGTCCCACCCGGGGAGGGGCGGCGGCAGACCCGGCAGGAGCCGGGTTTTCTCGGGGACCACACAACTCCAATAATGCTGACTCCACTGAGCCGGTCTCTCGCCCTGCAGAGCCGGGCAGCAGGGGGTCAGAGGGGGCAGCTGCAATGCAAAGCAGGCCACGGCCCTGCTAAGCACAGCAGCGAGGCCCTTCTCAAGCCGGGGAGCGGTCCTACTGGCCGAGACAGGACCCATGCCACGACCAGGTCCTGACGAGGAAAAATCTTCACCTTAGCCTTCCTTGAGGGGTCTGAGGTCAGCTGACCTTGGCCGACTAATGAGGCCACGCGGAACGGTGGGAATCCACAAGAGTGGGGTAAACCACTTCAGGAGGGGGTCGCCTGACACCACCACTGGCGTTCTGGTGGGAGAAGCAGGGCCGGTTCACGAAGTCACCAATTCCAGACCCCTGCCTCTCCCCGGCCTCTCTGTCCTCAAAACTGTGTCTGCCCTGTCAGCTGCCGGGCATCTCACTTCGAATTCGGAAACTTGCACGCCAGAAAGGTTCGGGCAGCAGCCACTCTATCTTTGTCACCCATGAAATGGTCCTCAAGACCAGAGAGCAACCTGGTGGAGTTCACTGAGAGAACACGGAGAACTGGCTCCGGGGGAAGAGGCCGGCCGGGGTCCTTCGTTGTCTCATGGACACTGTGGGGGCCACACCGGCCCTCTCACCGCGGCTCAGGTGGCAAAACCCAGTGGACTACCCATGGTGCCTCGGGCAGAACGGGAGGGCAAGCCTGACCCAGAGCTAACCCACTCCACGCCTCTCGGCATCGGGTTGAGGCCCCCCCCCCCCCCCCCCGTGAAAGCCCCCCCCGCACCTGCCCTGCAGGAAGGAGACTTACCACTTACTTGGGCCCTGAGCATCTCGGTTTGGGACATCAAGGCTACCACCTCTTTGTCCCTTTTGTTCAGCTTGTCCTGCAGGCCTAGGGGAGGAGGGAGAGACAAGGGGTCTGTCTGCAGTGTTCCAGGTGCAGGGGCGGAGGGGGTGGCCTTCCCGCGAGAACCCTAAAACGAGGCCAGAGCTGGCCTCCAGGGTCCAAACGCTCCCCCACACCAGCCCTGTCTCCGGGTAACCCGCTCTGGGTAAGAGACTCCAACACTGCGTGGTCTCCGGCCACTTAACTCTCAGAGTCTCGGTTTCCTCGAGTGAGGAAATTGGGGTCCTGGTACCCATGTCACCCAGTCGTGTGGGTTCGGATACTGGATAGCCTCAGAGCAGTGCTAAAAAAGATAATCTATGGAAAGCGCAAGAAACATTACATTTCTGTGCGCTACTTTATAAATGTAATGTAATGCCAATATAAATACCAATAGGATTTTAGTTCTTAAGGAACTAAATCAGCTGATTCTATTTTTGTTTTTGTTTTTTTAATTTTTTTTAATGTTTATTTATTTTTGGGACAGAGAGAGACAGAGCATGAACGGGGGAGGGGCAGAGAGAGAGGGAGACACAGAATCGGAAACAGGCTCCAGGCTCCGAGCCATCAGCCCAGAGCCCGACGCGGGGCTCAAACTCACGGACCGCGAGATCGTGACCTGAGCTGAAGTCGGACGCCCCTGAGCCGACTGAGCCACTGAGGCGCCCCTCTATTTTTGTTTTAAAGCTTATTTATTTATTTTGAGAGAGAGCGAGAGAGAGAGAGGGCACGGGCACTCACACGCACGAGTGGGCGGGGGCAGAGAGAGAGAGGGAGACAGAGAATCCCAAGCAGGCTCCGGGCTGTCAGCACAGAGCCTGACACGGGGCTTTACGTCACGAACCGTGAGATCATGACCTGAGCTGAAATCAAGAGTGGGATGTCTGACTGAGCCACCCCAGGGGCCCCCAGATTAGCTGATTCTAAAGTCACCTGGACAATAAGCAAGACTAGCCAAGAGAGTCTGGCAAACACTTCTTCAAGGAGTTAAACACAGAGATGCCATATGACGTAGCAACTCGAAGGTGCACACCCCCCAAAGAACTGGAAACAGGCGCTTGCAAAGCACCTGCACATGTGTGCTTACAGCAACGCGACTCACAATAGCCAAAGGGTGGAGACAGACCAAACATCCACCAACAGGCGGATGGATAAAAAGTGTAGCGTATGACGGCATATTACTCAGCCGTAAGCAGGAATGAACCTGGAATACAGTATGCTAAGTAAAAGTAGCCAGACATAAAAAGCCACATATTGTAGGATGCCTTCTAAATTTTTTTTAATGTTTACTTATTACTTTGAGAGAGAGACAGAGCGTGAGCAGGGGAGAAGCAGAAAGAGAGGAAGACACCGAATCCGAAGCAGACTCCAGGCTCTGAGCTGTCAGCACAGAGCCCGACGCGGGGCTCGAACTCACGGACTGTGAGATCGTGACCTGAGCCGAAGTCGGATGCTTAACTGACGGAGCCACCCAGGTGTCTCGGGATGCCATGTATGTCGATATCCAGAATGGGCAAATCCAGACAGAAAGCAGACTAGTGGCTGTCCGAGGCTGGGGAGTGACTGATAATGGGTATGGGATTTCGTTCTGCAGAGATGAGAATGATTTGGAACTAGACAGAGGTCATGGTCGCACAAGACCGTGAATGTACCGAATGCCCACTGAATTGCTCACTTTAAAACAGTTAATTCTATGTTAATGTTGCATCAGCTTAAAAAAAAAAAAAAAAGAAAGAACAGGCAAAAAATTTTGAAAAAGCAGAGCGGGAAAGGCGAGGCTTGCGGTCATGATGATATAAATAAAGCTTCAATAATTAAAACCTTATAGAACTGGCCCACGAACAGACAGGTTACTAATGGAATAGAAGGACCAGAAATAAAGTCAGTTATATAAAGGAATTTGAAGGTGGTAAGATTAGTAATTCGAATCAGTGGAGAGCTTGAAATGAGGTTTTCAAAACTGGTAGTAGGACAAATAGGTATTTGGGAGAGAAAAATGGTTCCTCCTTCACACCTTATAGAAGGATGAATTCTAGGTGGACCAGAGATTTGAGCAGAGAAAATGAAACTAAAGAAGTACTGGAAGAAACCACGGGATGCATTTTAAAAATAAGAAGCCCAGAAGCCAAAAAAGAAAAGACTGACTTTTAAATGATTTATTTATTAAAAAAATTTTTAACGTTTATTTATTTTTGAGAGAGAGAGTGAGTGCAAGCGGGGGGACAGGGGGGCGCAGAGAAAGAGAGAGAGAGAGACAAAGATTTTGAAGCAGGCTTCAGGCTCTGAGCTGTCAGCACAGAGCCCAAAGCGGGGCATGAACTCACGAGCCACAAGAGCATGACCTGAGCCAAAGTCAGACACTTAACCGGCTGAGCCACCCATGTGCCCCTATTTATTTTTATTTTATTTTTTGAGAGACAGAGAGAGAGAGAGAGAGAGAGAGAGAGAGAGCCCATGTGCACACGTGAGCAGGGGAGAGGCAGAGGGAAAGGGAGAGAATCTTAAGCAGGCTGCACACCCAGCACAGAGCCTGATGTAGGGCTCAATCTCACGACCCTGGGATCGTGACCTGGACCGAAATCAAGAGCCAGCAGCTTAACTGACTGAGCCACCCAGGTGCCCCAGAAAAGACTGATTTGAAACAAATCCGCACGGCACATACGACCCTGAGAAAAGTCCAAAGACAAACCACAAATGGGGAAAGGAATGTTTGCAATGTCGTACATAGTTTGTAAAAATCAACAGAAAGATGAACAACCCGCGAGGAACAACACGGGCAAAAGACGCCAAGTGGAACTGGAAAGGAAGCTTCGCTCACAATAAGAGAGAGGCAAGGTGACGTTATCTCACGGGAGAACCACTCGGACTGGCAAAGGTCACAAAGTCTGATGAAGTTTGTTGGCGGTAAGGCTTGTGGGGAAACACACTTTGAACCACAGCGTTTGGGAGTTAAAACCGTTGGAGACCCAAAGAGGGGAAGGTAATTCACTGAAGCAGTGTTGACAATAGACAAAGACTGGAAACCGTTGATAAGAACGGCCTCCAAGATGCGGCATCATTAAATGCAAAGGAGAAAGGGGGGCTGGACAGCAGGGAGGCGTGGCACCATCCGGTACTTACGGGTTTGGATGTGCATAAACGTGTCTGGAAAGTAAACTGAGGTTGGCCAACGCGGTGCCTTTAGGGAGGGAACTCCGGCAATGCGGAGGGGGGACAGGGGTGGGGGGAGGCGGTGAGCAGAGGGTGGGCAGATGATGTAAAACAAAAAGCCCAGGGTCCCACCCAGCCCAGCAGCCACTCACCCTCCACAGTCTCCTTCATCCTGACCTTCTCCCCTGAAATGTCGTTGGACTCGATCATCTGAAAGAAGGCTCTGGTAAGAGGGATTCTTGGCCCCTGCCCCTGCCCCTGCCCCAGCCGGCCCACCTCACCCCTACACAGGGTGGCTCTCAGGGACTTGGTACGGTGGCAAGGAGCAGAGATGTTCTCGGTCCTGCCTCCCTGACAAGAGAGGACCCCCGCCTGCCCGCAGCGCCCCCGAAGGCTGTTTGTGCAGCTTCCGTGTGAACACCTCCCACTCCTTCCTTTGTTGAAAACGTCTATTATATTAAACAGATGTCTCCTTCCCTGGGACGCCCACAGAGATTAGTCCTGGAAGTCTATTTCCATCACCTTCCAGAGGCAAAATCCCAGCCTTGGTTTCCACCCGTAAAAGAAGCATCGGCTGTCCGAGGGCGGCCCCGGGGCCAGCTCCCGAGGAACTTTAATAAATGCTACTTTTTAATAATAAACCCAGAAACCAAAGAAGAAAAGACCAATTAAGAAAAAAAAAAAATCTGAATGGCAAACATTAACAGGCTCCCCACGGCTTCTTGGAAAAAAGTTTTCAGCCTCCTGCCCAAGCAGGCTCTCCTCTGAGCATGCTGTCTGCCAGTCTAACACTGTGGATCAGACGGGCCCAGAGCTGAGCAGGCAGTCACCTCCATCAACCTGCCGCTCATACTTCTGCTCATACATCCCCAAGCCCCTTTTTAAGTCTCAGCCCATTGTCTCTGCACTGAAACCTCTGCATCTGGGAGTCATGTGGGTCCCGGCCAAGGCCCCAGCTGTGTGGAAATGAAGAGAAGGGCCTTGCTGAGATCACCGCCCACTCCTCGGCCTAAGGTCTGTGACCGAGAGGAAGGGGCTGTCCTCTGGAACCACAGCAGTCTGAAACCTCCTCTGCTACAGGAGTCCAGTTGCTGGGGTCCCAGGCCTGACTACCCCTGCTCTGAGAAGGCAGTGAGGCCATTTGCACACAAGCTGCTCAGAGACTGTTCCTTTTCTCTCTGCCCAGGATCCTGGGACAGCACTTGCTAAAACAGTCCCTCCCTGGGAGAAAGGGGGCAGAAAGGCTGCCACCCTGGGAGGACAAGGCATCATGCAGGCAGGGCTCCTTTTACGAGAAAGGTATCCTGTTCCTTGAAACTCCCAAACACTTCCTTATTGCTGGAAGGCTAACTTCTAGTTCAAAGGCACAAGGGGAATCAGAAGCTCGCGAAGCCCCAGGGCCCGTATGAAGGCAATGACCATGCTGCCAGCTGTCCTTCGGGTAGGGTTTGACTTTTGTCATCCTGGGCACCCTTTGTTGGCCTCCAGCTGTGGGGCTGGACTTGACCTCTGCCTCTGGTGGGCGGGAAACCCTGGGAAAGTTTCTCCGTCTCAGCCTTGGTTTGCTCATCTGTGAAACAGAGCGAACGCTGACCTAGCAAGAGTTAAGGTGAGAAAAGGCAACGTCGGTCCTGACCCCCCTCCACCTCCCAGCGCCCACTCTGGAGGCCCCCACACTGTGGCCGCTGGACGGCTGCTCGGGCTCATTAGGACTGGCGAGAGGGAGCCACCCGCAGCTCGGGTCACCTGGGTCGGCATTAGGGTGGGAGACGGGACACCCCCCCCCCGGGGACAGGCAGAGCTCGAGCCCCACGGAGCTCCCGGCTGCTGGCTCCTGGGGGAGGGCCGAGAGCCTGCGCAGTAGGACACGTGTGGGAGACGCAGAGACCCGGGGATCGGGAGGAAGCCTGTGCTCTGTGCTGGGGTACGCACCTCTGCAGGCCTGGGCTGCGGGGACCCAGCCAGGTCAGCTCAGACCACCTCGGGTCCCCACGGTCACCCTGCACTACTGATGGAGGCACGAGAGGTGCCCTCCGTTCTCGCCCGGGCCTGGCTGGGAAGAGGGGGCCGGCCGACACCGGGGCCCCCGTGACTGTGGGGGCTCCCCCCGCCCTCCCCGCCCCCTCCCGCCCGGCAGGAGAGGCGGCCGCCTACGTTGCCGTGCTGGGATGAGCGCAAGGACTCCACGGCCTGCAGTCTGTTCTCGGCAACCAGAAGCCTCTCCCGCAGCCTCTCGGCCTCCTGCTTGCTCTGGGCTTCCGACCGCTGGAGCAGCTCGTGGTCCAGCATCTTCTTCTCGGCCAGGGAGATCTGCTCCTTGAGGAACTCGATGGCCTGCGCCTGGCCCCGGTACTCCGCGTCCAGCTTCTCCAGCTCGTGCACCCGCAGCTCGGCGTCGCGGCGCTGGTCCTGGGCCTCCTGCAGCTCCAGCCGGTGCTGGCTGGCCTGCACCTCCAGCTGGGCCTGCCAGTGCTGCCGCAGCCCCGCCAGCTCCTCCTGGGCCTCCTGCAGCTTCTGCCGCAGCCCCTCCTTCTCCTTGACGTGCACGGCGGTCTCAATGTCGTGCTTGGCTCGCAGGTTGCCCAGCTCCAGCTGGTGCTCCATCTTGATGCCCTCCATGACGGCCTTCAGCTCCCCAATCTCCTTCTGCTGGGCCCCCGGGCCCGAGTTCAGGGTGGCCTTGAGGTCCTCCAGGGACTTCTGGTGGTCCGAGGCCAGCGAGTCCAGCTTGGACTTCCAGTTGTCCATGAGCCCCATGTTCTCGCTGGTGGCCTGCTGCACCTTGGCCTTGAGGTCCACCACCTCCTGTGCGTACCTCTCGTTGGCCGCCCGCAGCTTCTCCACCTCCGCCTGGTAGGCCCGCAGGGCCTTCTCGTATTTGTCCCGCAGCACGCCGCTCTCCCTCTGGTGCTCCTTGCTGGCCGACAGCAGCCGCTCGCGCAGCCTCAGGGTCTCGGCGGCCTCGGGGTGGTCGGCGGGTGGCGGGCCCGAGTGCAGCAGACATTGCTGGAGCTCCTTGATCTCGCCGCGCCGAAGGCTCAGCTCCTCTTCCAGCTGCAGCACGCGCGACTTCTCGGCCACCGTGGTCAGCTACCGGGGAGAGAGGGAGACCGAGGTCAGCGGGCCGGCGGGAGGGCGAGGGGCCGTGGCCGGAGCAAGGACGGACCCCGGCCCCGCGGGGGAGGTTCGTGGAGGGGAAGGGCGCCCACCCCGCCTGGGCGTCCCAGCCTCCGGAAGGACTCCCTGGGCTTGCGGCCCTGTGATTCTGGGACGGGACGGTCCCCGCTGCCCTTGGTGGCTTGGGACACATCAGTGGTTAAAAGAAACCACTTGTTGGAGGTTCTGGCTTTCTTTAGGAGGGAATTTTGCATTATCTGGCAGCCGGATGGGTCGATTCGTGGAGGGGCTGGCCAGAGAAGGGTCTGGTTTAATTCAGGCGGTACAAAGTTAATGCTCCCAGACCCACCTCCTGATGGAAAACTGAGATCAGAGGCTCCGTCTTCCAAGAACCCATTTGGATCACGACAGTGGTCATGGATTTGGAAACAGTACATTCATCGACACGTTTTAAGTCTTTCGCTAACTTAAAACTGTTTCTGAAGGTGACCTGTAGTTCAATAAATCTGCTTTTGTTTTTATAATCAGGCTGAACCCTAGATCAAGGCGCCTCAGTGTGGGGGGCTCCAGCCTGTCAACCGTGACTGGGTCGGTTTCTGCAGGCAGAGCCTCCATGCACATATGTGTGTGTACCACACGAGCACGTACGGTCACCCAGCAATGGCCAGGGTATGCAAAGGGACCCGTGTGTGTCTCCAGACTCCCCCCGACACACACACACACTCGCGTGCCGAGGCGGGCCTGCAGAAACCGACCATGGCTCGCCCCACAGCCCTCCTTGCTCAGATGGTTTGAACTAATCACTGCTAGCTGGCTGTTTAGCTCCACTGCCGGAACCGCAGCTGGGCTGGGCTGGCCAGCTGTTTGGACGTGGGTACCTGCACAGGGGGCCCAGCCCCGGGAAAGGTATGGTGGGCACCGAGGGGCCAGCTGGGCCCAGAACCCGGACCTGGGCCTTGGCAGGACCTCCCCCTTGCTCCAGCAGACATTTCCCTAGTCTGCTGTATCTCACCAGCCCCACCCTGGGTCTGACACAGAACCTCACGCCCTATGGACACCTCCACTCCCCAAAAGCCCCAGGTCCTTCTGTCTGGCCCCTCCTGCAACCACAGTTAAGATCCCCTAGGGGGCGCCCGGGTGGCTCAGTCGATTAAGCGATTAAGCTTCAGCTCAGGCCATGATCTCAAGGTGCGTGAGTTGGAGCCCTGCAACAGGCTCGCTGCTGTCAGTGAAGAGCCTGCTTTGGATCCTCTCTCACTCAAAAATAAATAAACATAAAAAAAAAAAACAAAAAAAACCCTAGGCTAGAGAAACTTTG